TCCGTGTCCCCTCCTTTATCCCAACCCAGCTGAGCATTTGGAGTTTTCCAGTGACAAAAAAAATCCCGGCCGTGTCCTCGGCTGAACTCCCCACACTCGGAGTTCTGAGAGGATTTTCAGCCCCGGTGGCTGCTCCAGCACAGAGGCTGAGGGCTGAGCTGGCCCTGCTGCCAAAAATCCTCATTTATCGTCCCCGAGCAGACTCTGTCTGCACAAACAGGAAACTTCCTCAAGGAGCAGCTTCCAAAGGATGGGGTGGAGCAGAAACGATTCCTGCACCTTGCCGTGGGCCCAGGACACGCTGCTGGGCTGGTCCTGGCTGGTGGGGACAATATTTTTGGGGTTAGTGCTGCTTTTTGGGGTCAGCGCTGCTTTTTGGGGTCAGTTTGTGGTGGCAGTTCCCAAAAGGAGCCCCATGTGGGGTTTTGTGAGTGCTGCTCCAGCTGCAGCTGGGAATTCCGCTCTGGAGAGCTGGGAATTGAGCTCTGGGATCACTCTGTCACTGCCATCCTCATCCCTGGGATGTCCCCAACCCTGTGGGGACACCAACAGTGAGGTCACCCCCAGCTGTTCCCATTCCTGGGGAATCTGCCGGTGCTGGAGCGGATGTGGAGTCACCATCCTGAGAGACAGACGCTTCCTGGTCGGAAAATAAAAGCTCCAGCTTTTTTTGGTGGGCTTTTTGTGGGTTTTTGTCTGCGTTTTTTGTGGATTTTTTTTCTGGAGGTTTTGGGGGTTTTTTGAGGGGAATTTTTCTTCTTTTTCCTCTAAATGCCTNTCCAATTCCCTCTCCTTTCCACTTCCCTCTCCTTTCCAACTCCCTTTTTATTTCAATTCCCTCTCCATTCTAATTCCCTTTCCAATTCCGTCTCCTTTCCAATTTCCTTTTCCTACAATTCCCTCCATTTCAGTTCCCTCTTTTCCAATTCCCTCCATTCCAATTCCCTCCATTCTAATTCCCTTTTCTTTCCACTTCCCTCTCCTCCCCAATTCCCTCCTTTCCAACTCCCTCTTCATTTCAATTCTCTCTCCATTCCAATTTCCTCTCCATTCCAATTCCCTCTCCTTTTCAACTTCTTCTCCATTCCAATTCCCTCTCCATTCCAATTCTCTCTTTTCCAATTCCCTCCTTTCCAATTCCCTCCTTTCCAATTCCCTCCTTTCCAATTCTCTCTTTTCCATTTCCCTCTTTTCCAATTCCCTCCTTTCCAATTCCCTCTCCATTTCAATTCTTTTCCATTTCAGTTCTCTCTTTTCCAATTCCCTCTCCTGTCCAGGGGGAAGGCAATCCAAGTACGCCGTCAACGCCTTCGAGGTTTTCGACACGGACACGCGCTCCTGGACCAGGTTCCCCAACATCCCCACCAAGAGAGCCTTCTCCAGCTTCGTGCCCACCGAGGAGAAGCTCTTCAGCCTCGGGGGGCTGCGCCAGGGCCGGCTCTACCGCCAGCCCAAGTTCATGAGGACCGTGGACGTCTTCGACCTGGAGCAAGGTGGGAGCTGGACCGGCCATGGACCTTCCTGGGGGATTTGGGGACACAGGGATGGGACTGGGGTCATAGGGATGGGTTTGGGGACACAGGGCTGGGTTTGGGGTCACAGGGATGGGTTTGGGGTTTGGGGTCTCACAGGGATGGATTTGGTGTCACACAGGGATGGGTTTGGGATTTGTGGACACACAGGGATGGGTTTAGGGACACAGGGCTGGGTTTGGGGACACAGGGATGGGTCTGGGGACAGACAGGGATGGGTTTGGGGACACAGGGATGGGTTTGGGGTCACAGGGATGGGTTTAGGGACACAGGGCTGGGTTTGGGATTTGTGGACACACAGGGATGGGTTTAGGGACACAGGGCTGGGTTTGGGGTCACAGCGATGGGTTTGGGCACACAGGGATGGGTTTGGGGTTTGGGGTCTCACAGGGATGGATTTGGGGTCACAGGGCTGTGTTTGGGGTCACAGGGATGGGTTTGGGGTCACAGGGATGGGTTTGGGATTTGTGGACACACAGGGATGGGTTTAGGGACACAGGGCTGGGTTTGGGGTCACAGGGATGGGTTTAGGGACACAGGGCTGGGTTTGGGGTCACAGGGATGGGTTTGGGGTTTGGGGTCTCACAGGGATGGATTTGGGGTCACAGGGATGGGTTTGGGGTTTGGGGTCACAGGGATGGGTTTGGGTCTCACAGGGATGGGTTTGGGGACACAGGGATGGGTTTGGGGACATAGGGTTGGGTTTGGGGTTTGGGGTCACAGGGATGGGTTTGGGGACACACAGGGATGGGTTTGGGGCACAGAGGGATGGATTTGGAGTCACAGGGATGAGTTTGGGGTTTGGGACACATAGGGTTGAGTTTGGGGTTTGGGGTCACAGGGATGGGTTTGGGGACACACAGGGATGGGTTTGGGGCACATTAGGGCTGGGTTTGGGGTTTGGGGACAGTGATCTGGTTCTGGGGACACACAAGGCTGGGTTTGGGGCCACAGGGATGGGTTTGGGGTTTGGAGACACACATGGCTGGGTTTGGGGACACACAGGACTGGGTTTGGGGCCACAGGGATGGGTTTGGGGTTTGGGGACACACAGGGCTGGGTTTGGGGACATACAGAGCTGGGTTTGGGGCATATTAGGGCTGTGTTTGGGGTTTGAGGACACAGATCTGGTTTTGGGGACACATAGGGCTGGGTTTGGGGACACAGATCTGGGTCTGAGGTTTGGGCACACAGGATGGGTTTGGGGCACATAGGGTGGGGTTTGGGACACACAGGGCTGGTTTTGGGGTTTGGGGTCACACAGAGCTGGGTTTGGAGTTTGGGCACACAGGGCTGGGTCTGGGGCTCTGCCACCCTTGCAGAGCACAGAGCTCCCATCTGCTGCTGCCTTGAGCTCAGCTTAGAGGACAATTCCCACTCAGGATTACTGAGTCCAATGGGAACCCCAATCCCATGTGGATCCAGTGGGATAACAGGGGCCAAACCCAACAATCCCACGGGGTTCTATCACCCCAAGGTGACACAGCCAAACTGCCCTTCCACCCAGAGGGGTGGGTGCATTTCCAGGAGTGGGTGACCCCACAAGCCCAGCGTGTCCTGTCCTTCCAGGTGGCTGGATGAAGATGGAGCGCTCCTGCTACCTGAAGAAAAGGCGAGCAGACTTTGTGGCCGGCTACCTGCGGGGCAGAGTTGTGGTGGCCGGGGGCCTGGGTGAGGCTCTGGGACCCTGGGAATCCTTTATAAAACTGTCAGAATTGTTGTCATCCCAAAAAAGGGGAGAAATCCCGGTGCTGGCTGGTGGAAGGGAGCAGGGAAAATAAACCCAGTAATGGGAAGGGGTCAGAGCAGCCAAGAGAAGCTCCGTGGTGCTTCCCAGATCATCCAGCGCCTCCCTTTGTGCTTCCAGGGAATCAGCCGAGCGTGCTGGAGTCGGCAGAGGCTTTCCACCCCGAGAAGAACAAGTGGGAGAGCCTCCCCCCCATGCCCACCCCGCGCTGCGCCTGCTCCAGCATCGTGCTGAGGGACTGCCTGCTGGCCGTGGGGGGCGTCAGCCAGGGGCTCAGCACGGCCGTGGAGGCCCTGTGCCTGTCTGACTCCTGATTGGGATCTATCTGAATGGGGATCCCACCTGGAACAGGGCCCTGTGCCTGTCTGACTCCTGANAGCAGGTTTAGATATAGAAGAATAATAAATTGTGGAAAGCTTCCATGAGGCGGCCATGGGCATCTCGGTGGCAGCCAAAGGCAAGTGTGGGAAAGAGGGAAAGTTTGGGAGGTTTCACAGATGTAGGAAGGTCTCTGGATGTAGAAATGAAGGTAGAGTAGAGGTGGAAGCAGGTTTAGATATAGAAGAACAATAAATTGTGGAAAGCTTCCATGAGGCGGCCATGGGCATCTCGGTGGCAGCCAAAGGCAAGTGTGGGAAACAGGGAAAGTTTGGCAAGGAAGTTTCGGAGATGGCAAGAAGGTCTCAGAATGTAGAAGATGAGGGTGGAATAGAGGTGGAAGCAGGTTTTGATATAGGAGAATAATAGATTGAGGAACACTTCTCCTGATGGGGAGACCCCGAAAAAGTTCTGTGCCAGGACACCTAAAAAAGTTCTGAGCATCTCGGTGGTGGCCAAAGGCAAGTGTTTTCCACCCAGATTATCGGGGGGTATGCAGAAGAGGGAATGGATTTCTGGTTCTTTCCTGCAATAATTTAATGGGATTTTTGGGTTTTTTTGCTCCATCCAGACTACAGGGTGTACGCAGCGGGCGGGATGGGCTCGGACCTGCGGCCCCACAACTTCCTGCAGCACTATGACGTGCTCAAGGACATCTGGGTGTCCCTGGCTGCCATGCCCACCCCCCGCTACGCGGCCACGTCCATCCTGAGGGGCTCCAAGATCTACGTGCTGGGTAAGG